GGACCGCTGTGAGATTCTGCCATCTCCCTCCCAATGACTTAATCTTGGCTCTAAGCGGCAGGCTGTGGTGTGGCCTCAAGGGCACTGCCTGTGGAGATGGGACGTTTGCAGCCGACTCTTCCAATCCTGACTCTAACAGCTTCTTTACAACAGGGCACCAGAGCAGGTGGGAAGCCATCTGACCTGTTAAGCTCTCCAGATCATTATTCTTTGTACCAGGGAAGCGCTTCGGGCTCGGTGGCCAGAGACCTAGCCTCAGAGGCAGAGAGACCTTTGTAGGATTATATATGTAGAACTGAGCATGGACCTCAGCAGTCCTTTAGTCCAACCCCCCCCATTTTACAGATGGGAGAACCAAGGCCTAACGTGGTTGAGTCACTTGCAGTAGTTACACAGGCAGTAACTGCTCAAACACCTAGACTCTAAATCAAATCCTCTTTTTCTCTACCCTTCTGATACAGTGACTCTGGGCAAGTCCTTGATAATAATGATAATAACAGATGACCCCTCAGGGCCCCCAGGCGACTTTTAAGACTATAAGCTGCAGATCAGCCACTGATAGTGCACTGGTAGATCTTCTGGTAATGAAGCCACAGGCCTTGACCTCCACCTTGACAATGCCTGACATAGAGTAGGTACTCAATAAATGCCAGATACAGGATTACTATGGGCTAGGCACTATACTAGTTGCTGGATATATAAATGCAATGAATTATACAATCTCTACTTATAAAGAGTTTATATTTTATCAAGAGAGATAAATACATACACACACACATACACACACACACACACAGAGACAGAGGCAGGGAAAGAGGGAAGGGAAGGATGGGGAGGGAGGGGGAGAGAGAAAGAGAATAAATGAAAATGAAGAAATACAATGTTACTAACTAAAAGGTAGTTTGGCAGGAAGAGTACTAGTACCTGGAAGGAATCAGGAAAGGCTCTTGTAGAAGGTGGTTTTAAATTCCACCTGGGATGAAGAGAGATCCTCCCAGGTGGAAGTGTGGGCGGTGTGCATTCCAAAATGGGGCATGGCTCTGTGCGGACGCAAGCACATAGATAAGAGATAACAGAGTGCAGGAGGGGGAATGACATCCCATGGAAGTAGAGAGATGGGTTGGAACAAGGTTGTGGAGTGTTTTAAAAGCTAAAGAGAGGAATTTTTATATTTTATCCTAGAAGCAAAAGGGAACTATTGGAATTGATTGAGGAGGGGAGTGATTTGGTCAGTTCTGTGCTTACGGAAGATCATTTTGGCAGCTCTGTGAAGGATGGATTATAGCGGGGAGACTCTTGAGGCGGGAACACCACATAGGAAGCTCTGGCAATATTCCAAGTGAGAGGCAGGGAGGGGCCAAACTAAGGGGGCACTGGTGTGAGTCCAACAGAGCCAGGCTGGGGGAGGGAGAGGTGAATGTGAAAGATGTCGTAGAGGTAGACATGGCTAGATTTGTCGACTGACCGGACATGTGGGGTGAAGGAGAGTGATGGATCAAGGATAATGCTGAAGTTACGAACCTGAGACTGGAGGAGTGATGGTGCCTTAGATGGAAATAGGGAATTTTGGAAGAAGAGTGAGCTTTAGGAGAAAGATAGTGAATTCTTTTTGGGGCACATCAGTTGAAGAAACCAGGGTTGTTTGGCACAGGGAGGAGAAGACTTAAGGAAAGAAATTAACGCAATCTCCGGGTATTTAAAGTGCTATCCTGTGTTAGAGGAGCAGCTAGGTGGCGCCATAGTGCATAGAGTGGAGCACCCAGCCTGGAGGCAGGAAGAGTCATTTTTCTGAGTTCAAATCTGGCCTCAGACACTTACTAGCTGTGTGACCCTGGGCAAGTCACTTAACCCTGTTTGCCTCAATTTCCTCATCTGTAAAATGAGCTAGAAGAAGAAATGGCGAACCAGTCTAGCATCTCTGCCAAGAAACCCCCAATAGGGTCACGGAGAGGAGACACAACTGAAAATAATTGAACGTGTGTTAGAAGGAAAAAATGTTCTTGACCACAGAGGGCAGAAGAAGGAGTAATGGATGGAATTGTAGGGAGACAAGATTTTGGTTCCATTTAAGCAAAAACTCTAACAATGAATTAAAAGTAGAACTGAACTCTTTAGGAGGTAACAGGTTTTCTCTTTACTAAAAGTTTTTAAGAGGAGGCTGAATGTTCACTTGTTAGGAATGCTGCAGATAAGATTTTGGTTCACATCTGGATTGGGCTAGATGCCTTCTGAGGTTCCCCCACCACTACCAAAAAAAAAAGTGAGGTTCTGTGTTTTAGTGGTGAGGGCAAAGATTGAGGGCCTTTATTACCACGAGACTTGCTGAGAAGCTCCTTAACCTGTATAGGGGTAAGATGGTTGTAATGCAGAATGAAGGGCGCCATCTATCCCACAAGGACCCACAAAAAGCTACCCCAGGTTCAGAGTACTCTGTAGGTCAGCACCCATTCAGAACCATAGCTTATGAGTCCCCAGTGGTATCTCAATCAGCCAGCCAAAGGACAAATTAGTTCAAAACAAGAGACATTTAATCAAACAGCATAGCAAATAAAGGGAAAATACCACCCTGTCCCCCAGTGCACATATCACGTAAACTCTTACATTTTATCTTATCACCAGTGTGGAAGGGCACACACATAGGGAAAAGAAATGCTCATTAAAAATGTATGAAAGTGAATATACATGTGACTAGGGAAGAGCAGATCACACCTCTGATGCCACAGCACAGCCAATGCCCTTGCATGATACCATGCTTCTTTCCAAAGATTCTTTTTTTTTTTTTTTTGCTAGGCAATAGGATTAAGTGACTTGCCCAGAGTCACACAGCTAGTGTCAAGTATCTGACGTCAGATTTGAACCTTACTCCAGGGCCCGTGCTCTATCCATTACGCCACCTAGCTGCCCCTTTGAGCGTGTCATCTTGACAGAACTTATCAACTTCCAGTGAGCATCTATGCTAGTTTCATGGTCATCAAGCTTCTCTTGGCTATCGTTTTCTGTGATTTAGTTCCTTAGGGCCATCTACTTTGTTAGCCATTCTCATCTACTAAGATACAGCAACTAGAAAGCTTCTCCCTTTCAAAGGCTGACGAACAGTTCATTTACACCACAGCTAAAGCAACGAGTCACCATACCTAGCTAAAAACTGTTGACAAAAGTCAGACTACTCCTAGGCTAGGATTAAGTTTTTCTTTTGCTCTAGTCTGGTGCTGATTTGAAGTCTGTGGTCTCACACAGCCGTCATATTTAGTGAGAAAAATCTTTGTGTTTCCATTTAACTTGAGGTTGGGATTTTGGTACTCCTCAATTTCATTTCAGAAACTCTGCAAAGCAAAAACGAAAACAAAAAACCAACCTAAAATCCCAAGATCGTCTTTGATAGGCATGAAAGTAAAAATGGGCAAGAAGAAAAGCTAAAAAGTGATAATCATTTAAGATCAATTGAGACCCAATAAGGGCCAAAAACCTGAATTTATCTTTTTCTCTCTGAGTGAACTAAAAACACTCCTTCCTGTGTCAGCAAATTCCAGGACCAGATGGAACTGACCAGCATTCCTGCTGTTCATTATCACTGGGCCCAGGATGTCTGGGACCAGATACTCTCTTGAATAATGGGACTTTTCTTATCTTGAGTTTCTATTGACACTTTGGCATTCTTCTGTTAAACAAACATATGGAGGCTGTATTATTTTTTGTAACACAGACATCCTGAGTCTGATCACTCTAAACTGTATAAAACCTCTCTCATTTTGCTTAATCTCGGAGTCAGAATCACATTCTGGCTTCCATGTTGACATGATTCGCTAGCTAAAAGGGAATAAACTATATAATCATGTATCACCTAACTTGTTTGCCTTCTTTAACCAAGCTTTTAGGTTAACAAAAGCAAAAAGGCACTTACTAGCTGTGTGGCCTTGAGCAAGTCACTAAATTACCTTGGGCCTTGGTATCCTCATCTGTAAAATTAGGAGGTCAGACTAGATGGTCTCTGAGATCCATTCTAGCTCTAGAGCTATGATAAAACAAGGTCATTGCCTTCTGGCCCACATTACTGCCTATAGCAAAAGCCCTTGACTTTTGCCCTTTATGCAACATGTACCAGTATGAAATAAACAATGAGGAAGGCTGTGAGAATGGATTTTATCAGTTTATCTGAATTGTGAGCTGATGAGTGCAACAGAGTGTGTTAAGTGAATGGGGACACTGGGTAACCTGGATTCTGGTCTCATCTCAGAACCAGTTTTGACAAGACTTTCGACTTCTTGGGCTTCAGTTTCCTTCTCTGTAAAATGGAGGTAATAATGCTTGCATTACCTAGCTAGGATCACAGGATTTAAAAATTGAAACGACTTTGGAGACCATTCCAGTCTAAACACTCATTTTTAGAGAAGGAAACTGAAGTCCCAGGAGGGGAAATAATTTACCCACAACGAACCAGATATAAGTAATGGAGACAGCATTCAAATCTGTGTTTTGTGGGTCCCAATAGGGTGCCTTTTCGATTAAAGCAAAATTGTACCATGCAAAGCAAATTCTGAGGGTCAGGTTTTTCCTTCATATGAGAAACATACACTTTCTTAGGAGCTAAAAACAAACAGAACCAGATGTGGCTCTTTCAGAGATCACCCCAGGGAATTTACCTGGGCTAGAAAGGCCGCGAAAGGTTACTGTCATAAAAGATTAACAAAAATTCCCTTAAACGGGATTGTAAACTGTAACTCCCTCTCTTCCGCCACCTCACCCCGCCCCGCTTCTGAAAGGGCGGCTCCTTTCCAGCCCACCAGAGGGAGTAGCAGCACTGCATCCCAGTCTGGCCTAAAAGGCCTATGGGAGATGTAGTCATAGAAAGCCTAGCTCAGGGAAGCAAGAAGGAATAGCAATGCTCTCTGGGAATCGTAGTCCTGTCGCCCGAAGGAAAGCTCTCTCGAGATGGCGCGCGATTCCTTTTGGGAATTGTAGTACTGATCCGAGGGCCGTTCGGGCTTCCTCAGCTTCCGGGGGCCTCACTCCTTCTTCTAGGAACCCTAACTCCCAGAGGGCAGCGGGGGGCGGGGCGGGGTTTCTGCTCTCGGCTCCCGGCGGAATCGAGAAAGTGAGAGGTCGAAGTCTGAGGGGGTTCCGAGGCAGGGTGAGTGTGACTTGTGGCTGACCCCGGGCCCCGCACCCCTCTTGAGCCTCTTCCGGCCCCCTCCCACTACTCTCCTCCTTGACCCCGGGACACTGACCCTTTCACGGTCCCTTTCACTTACCGAACCGCTCGGTGAACCCCACACGACGCCTCATAGCCCCCCTTTCTGATACCCCGACCCTTCAGAAGCCTCCAGTGCTCCTCATAGCCCCTCTTTCAGGCATACCCCAGAACCCGCAGTGAGAGCCTCTCCAAGCCTTATGTCTGACCCCTTAACCCCTCAATGACTCCGCATGCCCCTTACTGACCCCCAAATCCCTCAGTAGGACCCCATGACTCCTTATTGACCCCTTTACTGTTGCCCCAGCCCTTCAGTGACCTCAGATTCCTTGTAGCCCCTTTTACAGTGCCGTTCCTGACACTCCCAAATCTTTCAGTGACCCCCCCATTGACTCCTCATAGCTCCCTTCTGACACCCCCAAACCTCTCAGTGAGCCCCCTTACTACCATACCTCAAGCCTTTCAGTGGCCCTAATGACTCCTTAAAACCCCTCTCAAACCCCTCAGTGACCCTCACGACTCCTTATGGCCCCCCCATGCCCCTAAGGAACCCTCTAGGATTTCTCATAGCCCCTCTCACAGTCCCTTTACTGACCCATCTCAGATCTGCAGGGTTCCCCCACCATTGACCCCTTATAGTCCCCATTATAGCCCTCTTATTGACATCTCTCAGACTCCTCAGTGACCCCCCCAAAACTCAGCCCCCTTACAGCCTCCTTAATGAGCCCCTACAGTCTCTCAGTGACCCCTATTACGTCTCATATCCCCTCCTTATTGCCCCATATCGACCCCCCTTAAGCCCCTCATTGATCCTCTCTAATGTCTCCTAATATTGCCCCTTACATCCTCACCTTCCTGACACCCCCCCCCCAGATCCCCCATTGACCTGTCCCTGATTCTTCAGCCTTTCTTCTGGCTTCCTCTCTGATTCCTTCAGTGACCTTCTACTGACCCCTTGAGTACTTCATAGACACTACCTTGTACACTGACAAGTACAGTTAGGTTGGCTATAATAAAAAAGGGTGTGAGATAGGAACACTGGGAGAGAAGGCTGGAAAGATGGAGGGATTCCAATTCCGGAGACCTTTGAAGGACAGGATAAGGAATTTGGACTTTATCCTGTAGGCACTGGAGAGCCATAGAAGATATTTAAGCAAAGGAATGATTGGATCAGACCTATGCATTAGAAAGATGAATGTGCCACACTGTGCTAGATGGATTAGGGATGAGGAGGCTGGGAACAGAAAGCCTGGATGGGAGGTTGTTACAACCCAGGGGGAGAAGATGAGGGTGTGAAATTGGGTGGCCATTGTAGGAGTGATAAAGCACTAGGCCAGGAGAGATTTGGCCTTGGTTACTGACCACTCAGTCACTCAGAACCCATCCCTTGGCCGGATGGTGTCTCCATTTAAGTAAGATGAGGATGATTCTTTATCTCATCTGATCTGGTGTCTTCCAGGGCCTCAAAGAAGGCACCCGCGACTTCCTTCGTTTAAATTCCGTTTTGAAAAGGAAATTGACATTGACATTGACAAAAGCTTACTTACCCAGTTTTGGTGGCATTGGTTTTTTTCATTCTGCCCTTTATCAGTCCTGCTGCCCAGTCCACCAGGGTCTCAAGAACAGATAGAGAGGGGCAGCTAGGTGGTGCAGTGGATAGAGCTCCAGCCTTGGAGTCAGGAAGACCTCAGTTCAGATCTGGCTTCAGACACATGACATTTACTAGCTGTATGACCATGGGCAAGTCACTTAACCCCGATTGCCTCACCAAAAAGGCAAAAAAACCCAAACAGATGGACAGATATGGAGTTGAGTCTAGAGGGGCTTTTTTGAGCCCTTTCTGTGGATGGGGGCATTCCAGGTTCTGGAAGAGCTCTGAGCACAACAGCCCCTGTGCGAAATAGATTGATTGGAAAAGATTAAAGGAGCTCAGGGCTAGGGAGCTGGGCCCATGATCATTTAAAGGGGAAACATATTGAAGTATCAGGGGATATGGAAAGAAAAAGAAAGCAAAGACCTTGGTCTAATGTGCTTGGTAATTGTCCTTCCTAGCCAATTAAGCTATAAACTCCTTGTGAAAAATGTTTGTAACTTTTATGTACTAATGGCTCATAGGATCATAGCTCTGAAACTGGAAGGAACCTCAAAAGACCATGTAGTCCAACCCTCTTGTTTTACAGGTGAGGAAACTGAGGCCTGGAGACATGAAGTGACTTACCAAAGTCACACAGGTTAGTACGTGGCTGGGCTAGGATTTGAAGTCAGGTCTTCTTATTTCAAATCCAGCTTTCCCCCTCTACCCTGATGTTGTCCTGCCTCCCTGTTTTCCATACCTTCTCTCCTGGAGCAGTGGTGGAAAACTCAAGTAGAAATGATTGTACATATAACGATCCCCAACGTTGCCTGTTAACCTAGAAAACTACATATTAACATTATCTATGTTCTATTATATTTTTACTTGTTTTGTTAAGTATTTCCCAATTACATTTTGATACAGTTTGGGCTGCACTTGGGAGTGTTTGTGGCAGGCTGAGTATATGATATTTCTGTCCTAGAATACTGGGAAGATAAGGTTTGAAAAGTAGTCAGATGGTGAGCCTTGAATGCCAGCCAGGGTAAGGAGTCTGGATTTGATCTTCTTAACTCCTGGAGGGAGCAGGAAGAGTAACACACTTTGTGTGTTAGGAAGATTAATCTGTTAGTCCCTGCAGGATGGAGTGGAGAAGATGGGAAGTGGGAAGCAAAGAGCAGACATAAATGCAGACACAGTGTGAAAAAAGAATTTATTCTAGTGAGGGAGGCTGTGTAGAATAGTAGAACAGGCACTAGATTTGGAGGCAGGGGACCTGGGTTTGAATTCTAGCTCTTTTACTCTGAAGTTGTGAAGCCACAGGCAAATCACTTCACCCCGAGCCTCAGTTTCCTCTACAGTGAAATGCTCAAAACTCTTCACTGGCTGACAGTTACCTCAAGAATAAATTACTTGGCATTTAAGGCCCTCTACAACCTGGCTGCAATCTACCTTTCCAGTCTGATTTTATATCGTTCCCCTTCCAGAGCTTTCTGTTCCACCAAGCTACACTGTACTTACAATCTGTTCCCCAAACTCAGCATTTCATCAACATTCTATGTTTGCACAGGCCATCCCCCATGCCTGGCTTCTACTCCCTCTTTAGCTCTGTCTCTCAGAATTCTTCTCTTCCTTTTAAGTGGCACTGCCTTCATGAAGTATTCTTCTATCTTCCTGTCCCTACCCCCAGTTTGTTAGTTCTTTCTCCCACTTGCATTGACTCATATCTGTGTGTGTGTGTGTGTGTGTGTGTTTTGTATTCCCCAGCAGAGTGGATGCTCCACAGGGTGAGGGACTCTACTGCCTTTGTATCCTATCCATAGGTTAGTTACATGTAGTGGGGGCTTAAGAAACATTTGTTGAAGCTAGTTAAATTACATACCACTTACACTATTTACTTATGAGGATGTTGTGAGAAGAGCATTTTGGAAACCTTCAAGTACTATAAAAATAGGAATTATTACTTTCCTCATAGGTCAAATAAAAGGACATAATAATAACTCACATTTTCGTAGTGCTTGAAAAGCATTTTGATCACCACCACTCTGTTAGGTGAGTGGTGCGAGTATTATCTCCATTTTACAGATGAGGAAACTGAGGATCTGAGGGGTTGAGGGACTTGCCCTAATTCCACAGCTGAGGCAGAATTGATAACTCCCATTTGCAAAGCATTTCACAAGCTGCCTGTGATTTGGTGCTCTTATTAGCCCCATTTGACAGAGAAGGAAACTGAGGCTCAGGGGCATTAAATGATTTGATGAATGAACAGCCATAGAGTGTCTAATGGTGGAATTTGAACTTAGGTCTTCCTGACTCAAAGTTCACCACTCTACTTCAGCAATGACATGCAAACTATAAAGTGATATAGAACTAGTCAATCAGTAAGCAATTATTAAATGCTTGCAGTGTGCTAGGCACTGTAGATTCAAAGAAGGGTAACAAACATGGGCCCTGCCCTCAAAGATCTCCAGTATAATAGGGGACATAATATGTAAGCAGCTCTACACATACAAGATACACTGTGAGGGGAAGTCAGGAAAGACTTCTTCCAGAAGGCTGGTGGAGTCTTCGAGGATGCCAGGAGGCTGCAGAGGTCAGGAGCTAGAGCATCCGAGGTATGGCGGACAGTCAGAGACAAGGAGATGGAGCATTGTGGGTAAGGAGCAGCAGCTCGGCCAGGGTGACTGAATCAGAGTGGAGGATGTGGAAGGAGACTGGAAAGTTAGGAAGGGCTCTAAAAGCCAAACAGGATTTTCTGTTTGATCAGGAACTATCTTTTACCTTTCTTTATATCCCCATCCCTTATCATGGTGCCTGATACCGAGGAGGCACTTAAGAAATGCTTCTTGACTGACTGATCCTGGAGACACAGTAATAGAGAATCATTGGAGTTTATCTAGTGGGAGGGTGATGACGTGAGTCCTGTGCTTTAGGAAGATCGTTTGGCCAGCTGAGTGGAAGATGGGCTATCATGGGGATAGAGTTGAGGGAGGGAGGCCAGCCAGCAGGCTATTGTGGTAGACAGGCCAGAGGCACTGAGGGCCTGTACCAGGGTTCTGGCCATGTCAGAGGACAGAAAGTGGGCATTTACTAGAGATATTAGGGGGGTAGAAATGATAAGTCTTGGCAACAGGTTGAACGTGTGCAGTACAGGAGAGTGAGGACGCAAGGATGGCACTGAGGTGGCGAGCCTGGGTGACTGGGGGATGGTGGTTCCCTTGACAGGCATAGGGACTCTGGTGGGTCTTAGGAGGAGAGAGAATGAGTCCTCTCTTAGCCCTGCTGGGTTTGAGATGTGCACAGAGCATCCAGTCGGAGACATCCATTTACAGCTTTAAATTGTTACAACTACAGACAGAAAATGAACGTG